CCAAACTCAATACATGCATATTTAGATATGAAATCTTTTGAAATCAAGTCTTTGAGGAGAAATCGAAGGCAATAATTTAATTCATTGAAAAAAGTAAAGAAAGACCCAGTGCCTATAATGGTAATAGGCTAGGAATTTCTGCCTGTTCCTGGATTCCGTTTTTTGCAATGTCTGTTCACACTTATAGATGGGGATTCTAATCTAGATTCGATTAGCCTTAAGATGCTGCAGGCTATCATTCTCAACTAAGACTTTGACCCATGCAAGAGCATCGTGTTTGCCAGAGCGCAAGTTCTTGCCAAAATAAGCGGAGTGCTTAACATGCCAGGTCATATACGAAGACTTGTTTTCCTGCATCCTAGTCTGAACAACAGGGTTGCTTGCGTGAAACCTTTAACAAGGCCAAAGGCCAGCACCGGTTCCTTCATGGCTATGGCTTTCTTGCTGCCTTGGCTGCCTTCTCTTGCTTCCATCTCTCGCGCTTGGTCGTGTGCCGGGGCACTTCCTGTGGTCCCGGCCATCTCGAAGTGGCCCTTTGCATTTCAGCTGCTATCTGTTTAACACCGAGCTCACCCTGTTTCCCACGGCTGCGGATGGCATCTGCCATCTTGTGTGGAACCGGTACAGGCTCCTTTTCAGGCTCTTCGGAATCATCCGACTCCAGCTCAGGCAATCGATATGGATCTTCTGGCTCTGGCAGCAACAGCGGCTCCTGTTGCTCAACTTCTTCCTCTTCCACAGGCTCTGAGGCAGGGCGCAAACGCCGCTCCATCTGCAGCGGCAGCTTGTGTGGCTCCACGTTAGAAACCTCAGCACTGCGAATCCTCATTATGGGCTCCTGCCGGAACTTCACGCCAGGACCAACCTTGCTTGCCCATGCCTTCAAGACCTTTTGTCCTGCTTTGGGTATGATGGAAACTACTTTGCCAGCTTTCTGTCCAAATCTCCCAACCCTACCTGCATAGTGCATGTACGCACGCGGCTGTTGAGGAAGCCCGAGGATATACACGGTCTCAACACCGTCAAAGTGAATACCACGGCCGAGCCCTTCAAATCCAACTAGCACCGGTGCGGTGTTCTCTCCTGCTTTCTTGCGCTCTTCCATTTCCCTCCAAGCATCACATCCCACAGGCTGCTCAAGAGGGGTTGCAGTCCTTGCCCTCTCATTGAGCTGCTCATGCCTTTCAGCAATTTCTGTCGCATGATCCTGTTGATCATAGCTGTACTTGATGGCCCAGCGACTTGGCCAATCCCGCGGATCTGTCCACAAAGCCTCATGGATGGCTTCAGCCTCATGGAAGCCCCACTCGTGGAGTGTCCGAACCGCTTCACGCACAGTAAGTCCAACTGTCCGGCATATCACCACCAAGGAAGTCCCGCTTCCTTGCTTTCTGGACTTCAGTGCATCATGCAAGCCATCAAGCATAGCAACCGCCTTGTCCTTTTTCACTGGACGCTGACCCATGCCTCGTCTTTGATTTATGGCCTTGACCTTAAGCCGCGGCAGGCCACCCTTTTCATAGGGCTTACGCGTCCAGTGAGCGTCACTTATCTCCGTGCTACTTATGGAAGGAATCACGGGGACATAGCGGTGATCTAAATCCAGAGGCACAGTCGGCATCATAGGAATGGCTTGGAAGTCTGACTTCATCATGGCCAGAGGCCGCATGAGTGGAGGGGGTTTGTTGAACCAACGTCCAAGAGGATCCCATCGGAGCAGGCGGTGGACTTTTCTTGCCATGTCGCGGTTCATTGTTGCGGATGCTGCAAGAACTTGCAAATCCTGTCGTCGAGAGTAGGCCAACGATCGCTTCAGGAACCACTCGATGACGCCCGTGTTGAAATTACCAAGTCGGCCAGAAAGAACTGCCTTCTTTTCGTTGTAGATGCGCCGTTTCTTTTTGATAGCCCACTTCGATGCGAATAGTCGTGGGGCAGTTGTATATTCGTCAACCTCATCCAAGACAATGCCCCTGAGCTTAGTGTGCAAGGTCTGAATTATCTCCCTGTCCTTGTGCAGCAGGCCTCCTAGCTCGTTGGGTGTGCCGATGATGACGTTTGCATTCAGAACAGCTTCAGAGGGAGGCACATTGCCTACAATGACCATGGTTGCATAGCCTTTCGCCTTTGGGAAGAAGCCCAAGCTGTCGATGTAGGTATACAGTTGAGCAGCCAACTCTCGACATGAAGTGATTACTATGATTTTATCTCCTCGTCTGCCCCATTCGGACTCCTCAGCCATTGCAGTAAGCAGCGGCAAGATCATTGCCAGAGTTTTGCCAGTTCCGGTCTGACTCTGCAAGCACATGCTCTTGCCCTTGTAAATGTCTGAGAACACAGCTTCTTGAATGGGAGAGGCTTTTTTCACTCCCTTCCTCTCCAGCTGGGCAATGACTCGATTCGGCAGCGGCAGGTGTTGAGCCAATGGTGTTAACTTTTCTTCATCAAGAGATAGATAACCCAAAGATGCGGCATCAGCCTTGGTGATTCTCGGCTTGTGCATGATCTGGGCTGCCCAGGGATGGACTTCTTCCAAACCGCTGCCGATCTGGTCGAGGCCAAGCCATCCCCTTCCGTCCACGAGTCGTGCATGACTTCCATTAACTGGAACCTGTGCCGCCACCACATCTCCAGGCATGAGCCGGTCAACCTCCGTCAAGCTGTCACAATCACTGAGCACAGCAATGCCGTCAGCCTGAGATGCTCCGAAGTATCTTACTGGTCCTATGTCCTCTTCCATATCTTCATCGCTAAAAGCAGCGCTGTCAAGCACGAAGGCATCCTCCTGGACATCGGAAAGATCCTGCATGTCAACGTCGCTGTAAATGTGCTCGCCTTCTTGCATGACATCTGCGGCCTCATAACCTGTGGAATGGCCAAGAGCGCAGCGCCTAATGCCTCGAGTTGCCGCTGCCCTGACACTCACACCTCTCGCTGGTGTCTCACCTATTGGCGCAACAGGTCTAGGCTGCAGGAATGCAAAAGTCCGGCCAGCGCCAGCCAGACCCATCACACACAAAACTTGTCGAAGCTTCGAAGGTTTGCATTTTGCGCTGGGTCGCTGCATGGCAACTCTTGAACCTTCTAACGGCCTGGACAGATTTACCGCTGGAACAGGTCAAGTTGCTGGTCTGCATTAGTATAACTTCGAAACGGTTTGCTTGGGATCTTGCATTCACTGCAAGCTGTTTTGCGTTGTGGGCTGCTAAATGGACAGGTACTGGCTGTGAGTCGTAAAGCCCTGCAACTTCACACGCCAAGACATCCGAAGCATTGAACGCGCGCCTGCGCAAGATGACACCACCTACCCAATCTCCAAAACCTTTTCCATTCAGCTGCAACGATTCGCGGATGCCTTCCTCTTTGGTCTGGACCATCCGAAGGTACGGACATGAACCCGCTCAGGCTCTGAGGCGTCAAGGCTGCGTTGGTACTAGGAATGCTCCTGCTTCTTGACATCCGTGGTGGTAACCTTGCGCTTCTGACGCCTCAGTATGTGGCGCTGCAGCTGAACCCGTGGTGGCCTTTGAACAGCCATTGGCCCTCTGCCTCACCAGAGGAGGGTAACAGCAGTAGCCCAACCTTGGGTTCTCTTGCGCGGAGCATGTTCTCTTGCTCTCTGCCGAAGTCAATGGAAGCTTGTTTCAGGATCTGAGGCAGGTACGGCTTTGTTGTATAGGCTGGCGCACCATCGTACTGAACCTCAACAGCTCCAACAAGCCAGCCACTCCCTACGAATGTGCCTGCCTTTTTAACACTGACAGTGTGTCACACCTCTGTAACTCTAACTCTAGCTTGGGTTGCCTGCGCATGCGAGCACTCTTAAATTAGGTGCATGCACGCACATGCCTATACCAAAATGTCAGCCCACATGCATGAAGTCACGAGTCTTGTGCCTCATTCTCAGTAAGATGCGTATCGATTTGCCAGGACCTTGGTACGGTGTGGGGTGACTGGTCTTCTTCATGACAGCACCTCAAACATGCCCAACCAAGCCATTGACAGCGGTACCTTGGCTACACCACTGTAACACCGGTCAGCGAAGCACCAACAAAATAGCAGCAGAGCAGCATGAACCTGTTTGTACTGAGCTCTCCGCAGTCACTTCTAAGCAAGCCTCAAGACCGGCACCCCTCGCCATAACTTGCAGTTTCAGATGATGCCTTGCAGCCGTTGACAGTGACCAAATAAGCTGTTGTCCTGGGATTGTGTCAAATGCCAGACCGCTGCCGTTCAGTTTGCCATGTTTGCGATTGTGATGTTGTAGCTCAGCTGCCGGCTCTCGAAACCCGTGGTATAGGCGGCGTATACCTTCTGTCACATCCAGCCTGTCTTGCAATTTTATTGGACACAAGAACATTGTTTGCGGACTCCCCTGTAAGATTCAAAGCTGGGTTTTCTCTGTCATGGGTCATGAGTGCAATCTGCTGAAGGCATAGCACAAAGCCGGATTTAGTTTCAGCTCGGAACACCAGCTGATTGTAAGGTCACTGCCGCCCTTGCTGTTGCATCAGATCTTCTCCACCCAGAAAGACGATCTGCCAATCTGCTGGGACCTGGACATTTCCAAAGAGAGTCCCCACCATGCCACAAGTAAAGGGCCTGCGACAAGGCGCTGTCCAATCTGGTGCCTTGATAGATGCGCGTACGTATGGCGGTTTTAGTGCTCGCTCGGTTTGAACTGAGGACTCCGGCGGAAGTTGGCCAAAAACTTGCAGTCATTCTGATCAGGTGACAGGACACAAGTCGGACAGGTCCGACACAAGTGCCTCCACAACGAGGACGGCCCGGTCGTCCTCTGTCTGCCCATACTTCATGATGACCTCAAAGACCGTTCTAGTTATTCTAGTTTGAGGCACCTAAAGCTTGCCCAACATCTGAGCAACTAGAGGAGGCAGCCATTTGAGCACAAGAACCGGATAAAGGGCTTCAGATTAGCAACCGGCAAATGCCTCAGGCCTCGACATGCTTCCACACTTGCATGTGCGATAAAGCCCGGCCTGAAGTGCATATTTCATGGCCAAGCCAGCACATAGTCTCGTACTGCCACAGAGGACCAGAATATCCGAAGCTCGTGAAAGCTGTACTTTCCCGTGCCCTGCACAAGTCCTATTTCATGTTGCTTCACTCAAAAAGGCATGCATGCTTGCTAATGCGCCTCTGAGGATTGAACTTCCAATGCGGCAGCATGTACCCACATCACGCAGCAAAGCGGCAGGAAAATTGAGATCTTGAGGATGCTGCCCATACTCCCTGCTGTGAGGTCGATGCCGACCAGTTTGCTCTCATCTGGCCTGGTATGAGCAGAGAACTGTTGTCTGTGCTTTTGACTTTTTGCGACTGGCTCGGCTGCCGGCAGGAAGTATCGCTTCAATGCAGCCGGGTTGACTAACCTGGCAGATCTTTCTCAGTTCATCTGTGGTAGCAGGAAGCAATCGAGTGGGGTTGCCCGATCTCAGCCAACAGCGCTAAGTCCAACCTCAAAAGAGCATCAGGACAACGACCACAGAGCAATCTTGATCGGCTGCGGAACTATACTTGCTTTCTAAGGTGAGGCCGCGCCTGCAAGTTCCACACGAGAGCTCGACTTCAAGGCAAAAATCTGAGGACGAGCGCGATTTCCTAAACGTGAGGCTGCTCCACGCTAGAGCTCCCTTCTGAAGCGCAATGTAAGGATGCTCCGCGCGCAAGAGCTCGATTTCACGGCAAAGTGTGAGGGTGCTCCACGCGAGAGCACGATCTCACGCCAAAATGCGAGGATGCTCACGCAGAGCCCGCTTCTGAAGCACGGTGTAAGTGCGCTGTATCGAGATGTGTCAAGAGCTCTTTTTCAGAAAAAGTGCTTTTGACAAATGTCGGGGCGCTCAACGCGAGGGGTCGAGCTCAAGACAAACGCGAGGACGCTCAACACGAGAGCTTGAATTGAGGGCATAATTTGAGGACGCTCCACGCGAGAGCTTGAATTCAGGGAGGACACTCCATGCGGGAGCTCGATTCTAAAGCATGACGTGTAGATGTTCCAAAGAAGACCATTTTAAAGCAACATGCGAGGACGATTTCAAGGTGAAATGTGAGGACGCTGAGCGAGTCAGTTCAATGTTGAGCCAATTTTGTCAGACTCCAGGCAGGACTTTGAGTCCGAAATGTGAGGATGCTCCAAGCGCGAGCTGTCCCAACGCTCCACGTGAGAGGTCAATCTGTTGCCCTACATTTCCAAAGCACCCGTGATGAAAATTAGAAATTAAAGCTTGGAACGATCTCCCAGGCAGTCTGTTCGTTTTCTAAAGAAAAGCGCAGGGGCTTCAGGGGGCGCAGGCTCCTCCGTGGGCAAAGCATGGGCAAAGATGTGTGGTCCGTTTATGAGAAAACGCGGGCGAGGGTGGGGTGATCTGCAGGACCTTCTTTACTGCCAACGGTGATGACATGATGTGTTTTTGACCAGCTTGGATGGCCCTTAAAAAGCGAAGGGTGGAGGCAGCGCAGCCGCCCCTTTTACAAAACAGAATGATCCGCATAACCCAGCCTTGCTGCAACCATAGTGATAATGAGGGGTGTGGGTGAGGCGCGGCCCACCTATTAGCAAACAGAATGATCTGCATAAGCCTCCCTTACAGCAACCATAGTGGTGACATGATGTCTTTCACGGCGAGCATGGTTGCCCCTTAAAAAGCAGGGGTGTTGGGGGCGCGCAGCCCCAACGGGAGAGCTCGATTCAGGCCAAATGTGAGGACCCGCCCCTGTGAGAGCTCGATCTCGAGGCAGACGGACGCTTCATGCCAGAGCCACCTAAAAAAGTCACCCCTGAGAAAAAGAAAATTCATCTGACACCGGCCGTGTAGTACGCTGCTGCAGGTGAAGCTGATCGGTCGGAATGCCAACCACTACTTCAAAGCTCCAACAGTTGGAAGGATGTCACGCTGCAAAACTGCGCATTTCCAAGAGAGTCAGGTCTTAAGAAACGTTTTGGGATGCTGCATTTTATAGGATGTGGCCTTGACTGGCAAGTGCGCATGATTGCACCGCTGGATACACAAACAGGAAAGTATTTGAGGTGCTTTCAAGGGGGAGGACCAAAAGACTAGGAAACCGGATGCCACTGGACCTGAGGATCACAGGGTCAAAACAGACATCCTCAACAAAAAATCCGAGCTTGATTAAATGCTCCTCCTTCTTGGCTACTGGCTCGTCGGAAAATACACGCCATGAACATTAGAAAAGTTTGCCTAGCTAGCCGGGTCAACACGAGCTATCCTACTACAAGAACTCCAATTCCCTGCAAACCGATCTGACTTTATCCTTATGTTTGCAGTTGAGATGTCAAAGTTTGCTTAGGTTGTCCTCGTGTTTCCCGCCGCGTCCTGTCTGCATTAGGTTAACTTCCCTCACTCGAACTATGAGTCGCAGGGGGTGATGAAGCTTACTGAGCCCTCGGGAAATTCGAGAGGGACGTGGGCAGCAGGCCGCGCCGTAACTGCCGGTCGGCGTTCGCTGACTCAGACACCCCTAAATCTTCCCTACAAGGATTTTTTTAATTGAGACATTTATCATGTTACAAGGAAGGACTAGGTTGGACCTGACTTTGAACCGGCACATCCGCACCCGCCACGTGATTTCTCCAGAGTGCACGAGATGCAGCAACGATCAGCAACACACATCCCCATCCCCCACCCTCAAATTGGGGCACTTTCGCCCATGTGTTTGCTTCTTTCTTGTTTCCAACGCGCGCCCCGTTGGTACGCCAAGCGGTACTTCTTTGAAAGACTATGATGTCCCTAGAAGATGTCCACGCGAGTTAATTCTACCCTCAAAGACTGCCGTTCAACCAATGATTTGGGATCTCTAGAAGTGTCCATGTACCCATGGCAGAAAAAAGCTCGCGGACACACGCAGCGATTTGTCCCGACAGTTTGAAACCCTTCCCAAATACATGCGAGCCCTTCTTCAGCTAGCAGTGCTTTGGTGTTTTGTGCAGCTGAAGCCAAACAACAACATACTGAGGTAACAGCTCTTGACCATCCACAGCTGCCCACCTGGTCGCTGCCAGCTGTAACTCCTTGGCACCATGTCCCCGTGACCCCGTGTCTTGCGAAAGTCTGCACCGAGGCGCACCCTGAATTGCTCCCGCATGAAGTCCCAGCACCTTGACTCATGCATCTGGAAGCGGGCAAAGCAGTTGCATACATTACTGTGCAAGGCTTGATAGGCTGATAGGCGTCCAACTCAGGTCGCTGGTCTAAGTTGATGCAGAACACCTGGAAATGACTGCGCATTGGAGCCGTCATTTTGCCGGGAAGTTCTCATACTAGCAGCGTCATGTATGGAACCAACGTGATCTGTCATGGCCGACCTACTGTCCAAAGGCCTCCTGCACACCATGTGTGCCAGATGTGCTTCTTGCAACATCGACTGCCTCAGCATGGGCTTTCCATGCTGGCCGTTCGGCGGCTCTGAATGCGTATCTCGTTGGTGAGTTTATTTTGCGATCGTTAGGAGCATGCGGGGAGCTATCCGCTCGAGGCGCAGGAAAGCTAATTGCAGAAGTGCGCGATGAACTTGTTTGACGTTTATACCCAGTAACCAGTGACATGCTTTGAGCAAATCAGATCAACTGAAGCACAACCGAGGCATAAAAAGAGCTCGGGCCACTACGAATGGCAAATGCGAATGCCTTGCGGTCAAAGCGAACCTGGGCATCTTTGGACATTTCCGTGCAACCGCCTTGCTTCGGACAATGAAGCTTCGTGAGTTCAGAAGCAGTTGTGTCACCGGTAAGAGTGTTTTTTTTTTTTTTGCTCCGCGTGTTTTTTTGTTCTGCGTGTTT